TCTTTCTCTCTATTTGCTGAGCCGCGCACGCGGGGGAGGGGGTTCAGGTCGGCAGCCGCGCAGGGGTAGGGGGTTCCGGTCGGCAGCCGCGTGCGCAGGGGGAGGGGGTTCCGGTCGGAACCCTGCGCGTAGGGGGAGGGGGTCTGGTCGGAGCTGCGCGCAGGGGAGGGGGTCCGGTCGAGAGCTGCGCGCGAGGAAGGGGTTCGCGCGGGGAGGGGGTTCTACCGCGAGGGCTGTCGGGACTGGTTGTTTGGGGGGTTCCACGTAGATGCGATTCAACCAATCAAATGTCTCTTCTCAGTACTAAGCTCCGTTGCTTGTAGAAGCAACAAAGAAAAATTTTTAAGCAACTCGATTGCCACGTAAAATCACTCCAAGGGGAGTTTCTTACAAGAAACTGTACCTTAACAATAAGCAACTCACTAAGCACCTCTCATTGGAGGTGCTCTTAGTTGTTCTCCTCGTAAACCACAAAATGCTGTTGGATCTTGTGCCGATACCTATAAAAGGGATTGCTGAATAGTTTCCGTGATTGCTGTTTTGTGTTCGTTCTAATGCTTTTGCTGCCTCCTCCGTTCTCGCTTCTATCGCTTTCGTTCTGTGAGAATAACACGATCCCCTGTAATGAAATGTTTGGGGAAGATCGAGATTGTGACATATTTGCTTTTCCTGTTTCAATAGATATATATCGTCGATCGTCTTGACATGGATAATTATAATTATTTATTCCATTTCTTCATCTTATTTTTTTAATCTATATTATATTTTTAATCTTTTATCTTATATTTTAAATTCAGTTTAGCTGTTTTATTTTTTTAAAAAAAATCAATCCAGTGTTATATATTTATAAAATGAATCAGAATAATTTTTTTCTATAATCGTCAATGTTTAAAAAAAATGAGTTCATTATTTATATGTATGTTGACATGATTTCTTATATTGAACTTTATTGATATTATGCTAAATCAAAGTGAACCTATTTAAAAATATAAATGATGAAATTGCATCCAAATATACTTATTTACATAATCTAAGCATAACTAGTTGCATCAATTTAAACTCAACCTTTTGAATTTTGTAGCAAACCTAACACAACAAATTAGGAAGCAGTCAGGTAGGTAAATCTTTAAACTAATATTTTTTGGGCTAATTTTAGTTAATAGTTGTTAGATTTTTTACCAATTGTCATAAATAAGAAAAAAGATAGAGTCCAAGTATTAAATTAATAAAAATATGTGTAATAATTAATTAATCTAATTTAATTTTAATTATGAAAAACATATAAAATAGTTTGAAGAATGTATAAAAGTAAAAGGATGTATTTAGAGTTTCAATATAAGAAAGAAAATTAAAAGATAATTATTGTAAATTTATAATAAAAGAATTTAATAGTTGATTTTATTGATATTTCTCATGCATATCATTATCAATTATTATCCAAATTTAGTTACTAGTATATTAATTTACTAATCAATGCAAGTATTTTAATCTTAGTTCTTTAAGTGAAAATTTCTAAGTTCTTTAATTAAAATCTCAATTCTTTAGTAAAGTTATATACAAAGCAACTAACTTTAAGATTGAAGGTTAGAAAAACATCCTTAGTAATTCTTATCATATTAATAAGTGTTATTAGTATTATTCTTCATATCGTAATTTTGAAAAGATTTTTCAACTTCAATTAACTCTATAGGATCATGGAAAGGTGATCAAGTAAAAAATACACATTAAAAACAAAAGAAAAATAATTAATTTAATAAAAATGCAATTGAATAATTATAAGAAGAATTATATCCAATAGAGTCAATTATCTTAAATTCCAACTAGTAAATTAGTCACTCATGGTTAATGAGACCATATTAAGAAACTAAGGGAGGCTTTCAATAACTCTATAATAACTAACACTCTCATTTTATTCTCTCAAATTTCTCTAAAATATACAATATGCAAAAAATAATAATAATTCTATGTCAAAGTCCTATTTAAGTATTTATAACATTCTAAATAGGCTTCTTGCTTTCTTATTTGACCCGCAGTAGATGAGTTTTGTTGATAGGTTCTTATCACCAAGTCTTTGACTAGCTTCTTCTTCCTTGTTGTTATTATTTTTCTTGTGTAAAACACTAACAAAACATCAAAATACATGAAATTTAAAGAAATCTATCACATAAATAAAACTAATTTCTAATATTTATTTTAATAAGAACAAAACTAAAAGAAAATGTGTTAGATAATTGTTTAAATTATATATATATATATATATATATATATATATATATGATAATTACCGACTATTAAGATTATACAAATCTTTTGTCCAACTTTGTATAGACTAATTTTCGCTACATGTAAAGATATGTAATTTTTTGTGTGAATAAATTTGAATTCTCTTTTTTTAATAATTTTGGTAAATAAAACTTCATATAAATAATATGATTTGTTGTCACTTAAAATATTAATTTCTAAAAGTTACTATGTGAATGAATTTATTTATTATTATAATTAATTCAAAATTCATTAATTCATCTAAAACTATATCTAAAATGTTGTTATGTCAACAAAAATATTTATGTGTTATTCTATAATTTTTATTTTACTTTAATATATATCTACAAACTTTAAATATATGGATTAAAGGTCTTTCCAACCATCATTCTTTTCTACCTGCATAGGCTTATCCTTTTTGTCATTTCATAGTCATCATTCTTTATTAAAGTGAAAATTAATGATTGCACCTAATTATGCCATTGTATAAGGTTTAGATGGCCGATAGTAACATTAGATCATTGATGATATTAAAGCCAGAGGAGTAGTACATAGCAGACATTGTCACATAAAGAGGTAGGTGTTTTAATACCTTTTAATACTCTTTTAGTTAAGATAGAAAATTCTAACATAGCAACCAAAATTTTATCAACTTTTTTTTACTCAATTTGCTAAAGTGAACCTCGGTCAAATTTCTCATATAAATTTAAATATTATGTCTCTTCGTATTGTTCCTCACCATCACTTTAGCATACTAATTTTTTATCTCCATTTTATTGTCAAGGACACTTGACGATGATTCTTCAATATGAAATGACACTAAAATTAGAATTATGGTCTTCTTGGGTAAAATTAATTTAAACATGTGATATCATTTTATTTTAATTTCATTCTATTCTGTGTTGGGTTTTCATTTAATCACAAGATTTCTACTTTAACTGTATTTTGTTGTTGTGCTTTCAATGTAGATAACTAAGTCCAAATTCAAAATTTTTTACACTCACTTCTCATAGTTTTTTATTACCTTAATTTGTTATTTTACATATATTCTCTACGAATATTTTTTCATATATTTAAATATAGAATCTCACTTGATTAAAATTAATTACAAAATTAAAAATTATATATTTTAATTCATATTAAATTCATAATAATGTTAATTAATTATGATAAATTTCTATAATTTTGTATAAAATTTTATATTATCTAACATAAAATAGTTATTTAATATCTTTTTTTATACTAATTGATTGTACTTTTTAAAAAATGGAGAAAAAGAGTCACTCTTATAGCATCGGCTAGCAAAAGAATGCTTAATTCAAGTGAAGGAAATCATTTCCTAATTAGACGTTATGATATACTACTAAAATTCATTACAATTGTGATACCCATTACCCCACATGTCATAAAACATAAGCAATAAAATAAATTAAATAATATAATCTTCATAAATAAACCAAATGTATTCAGGTAGAAAGTATCACATTTTTAACTTAACCAAATAACATAATTATTGAAATTGTAAGGAAATAAAATTAATATTTTTCAAAAGAATTCAACAAAATAATATAATAATCTAGTCTTAACTACGTTCTGATATCACATGTTTTATTAGCACAAAATCCAATACTGAAGTCTAAGCCTCATCATCAACATCTTCAATGTCATGTTGATGATCACTTAGATAACAACCAAGAAAAATAACACAAAACAAAGGGAGTGAAAAACATCTCACTTTGACTCACGGTACAGGAATGCAAATCGGATAGTCAAACACAAACAAGAAATACAAGATATAGCATGTACAAACAAACATTATAACCATATATATTTAGTCATAGCATAATAAACAATAACAATTACATTATAATGCATTATACAATGAACACAAACTACATCTTATCATACATGTGACATCAGTAAAACATCACATATCACACTTGTGCATTACCACTAGCAATACATGTATAGTAGTCTAAGAGTACATACTGAGTCACACTATCTACGTACTTTAACTAGAAGGACATACTATCAAAGTCTGGTCAGGATAACTAAGTTGTCTAAGATACATCCCATGTTCACGAGGGTAGGATTAGGAATTCCAAACCAAACTATTTCCAAGGTTGCTTCCCAAGCTTTTACACAAGGGACCTTTCCTGGTAGTGTATTCCATATTGTAACCCTTTTAAAAAAATCTTTTATGCATATGATGTATGTCAAACAAACACAATGCAATAACATGCACATGATCTCACTTCACATATCACATATTCTGCATATCACCTCATATATCCCATGTACATTTTCAAATACATCAACAAATCATTAGTAAAAAAGTAATATCAAGATCACAAGGATAAAACAACCATCTAACAGTTGTTGAGTTGATCCCCTTAGAGTATCTCGCTGAACAAATAACATCTAGTTGAGCGACCAACATCTAATTGAGCGAGCTAAGAGCCTCTTAAGGCTTCTCGTTGAACGACCAACATTTAGTTGAGCAAACAAAGCTCCTTGGGGCTTCTTACTAAGCAACACAACTTGCTTAGTGAGACTATGATCTTCCTTCTTGGAAGTCATGTCTCCTCGACTACTAAAAGTTACCCACATCTAATTTCATACATAAATGCATACAAAATCGATAAAATTACTCTATAACATGTAATTAACATTTTACACCACTCAATTTATACATATCAATCAATAATTTTTCAAACTATCATAACAAGTTTCCTTAGGATTTCCCATAAGAACCCACCAGAACCTTAGATCATACAATTACAACCCAAACATACAATTAATCGTAAATTCAAACAATTCATGCAACTACTTATGAGTAAGAAGAACAAGGAGCAAAACAGAAGCATTACGGAAAACTCATCATGCATAGGCATATAACATACATAGAATTGATGGTCAATCTCATTATATAGCATACAATCCCACACCCAAAGCGAGGTTTCTCACTCCCCTGTTTACCTTGTTGAACAAAGAAAGACGGATGATTGACTCCGAGGTGGTTTCCTTCTTTCTTATAATCTCCGAACTCTGAAGCCTGTACGTAAAAATAAAAGTGTACAAGGGTTTGATCAGAAACTACTCTTTTTAAAACCATAACCTCTATTTTAACCCTCCAGTTAAAACATATTAATCACAGTTACCAATCTTCTTCCCTCTTAATTAATTAAAATAGAACATTTAATTAAAATCTTCAACAATACACCTTATATTATAATTCAAACCATATCAAATAATCAAATAAATATTAAACAATTGTTATTAATAAAATTTAAATACCAAAATTATTAATAAAATTTTTATATTATATTTTATGAAAAATAGGACGTTACAATAATTAAATCATATATTGTTTAATCTAAAATAACTTTACTTCTCATGGAAAGTTAATTTAGTGTTTGACATAGCTTAACATAAAATATCTATCATTAATACAATACAATAATGTGTGATTTTTAATTTTTCATTATGTGTATATACACCTTTATATGTCTTAAAAATTAATAAATAATAATTATATATCATTTATTATTTTCTATAACTATCATTTTAACCATATTATGTCTCTTAATTATAAATTAATAAATGTTTAGGGTATGTAAGTATTGACTAAATGCAAAATCAAAATATCAGTTTCTTAATATTAATTTTAATAAACTATAATAACATAATTATATTTTATAAAAATCTGAATGAAATAAAACTATAATCTTATATGTGCTTTATATAAAATAATAAGATAATTTAATTGATGCTCTAAGTTACATTAATTAATTGTGTGTGTGTGTGTGTCTGTGTGTGTGTGTGTGTGTGTGCGTGCGTGCGTGTGTGTGTGCGTGTGTGTGTGTGTGTGTGTGTGCGTGCGTGCGTGTGTGTGTGCGTGTGTGCGTGTGTATCTCAGTGTGTGTGTGTGTGCGTGCGTATCTCAGTGTGTGTGTGTGTGCGCGCGCGCGTGTGCGTGTGTGTGTGCGTGTGAGTGTGTGTGTGTGTGTGCGCGCGCGCGTGTGCGTGTGTGTGTGCGTGTGAGTGTGTGTGTGTGTGTGCGCGCGCGCGTGTGCGTGTGTGTGTGCGTGTGAGTGTGTGTGTGTGTGTGCGCGCGCGCGTGTGCGTGTGTGTGTGCGTGTGAGTGTGTGTGTGTGTGTGCGCGCGCGCGTGTGCGTGTGTGTGTGCGTGTGAGTGTGTGTGTGTGTGTGCGCGCGCGCGTGTGCGTGTGTGTGTGCGTGTGAGTGTGTGTGTGTGTGTGCGCGCGCGCGTGTGCGTGTGTGTGTGCGTGTGAGTGTGTGTGTGTGTGTGCGCGCGCGCGTGTGCGTGTGTGTGTGCGTGTGAGTGTGTGTGTGTGTGTGCGCGCGCGCGTGTGCGTGTGTGTGTGCGTGTGAGTGTGTGTGTGTGTGTGCGCGCGCGCGTGTGCGTGTGTGTGTGCGTGTGAGTGTGTGTGTGTGTGTGCGCGCGCGCGTGTGCGTGTGTGTGTGCGTGTGAGTGTGTGTGTGTGTGTGCGCGCGCGCGTGTGCGTGTGTGTGTGCGTGTGAGTGTGTGTGTGTGTGTGCGCGCGCGCGTGTGCGTGTGTGTGTGCGTGTGAGTGTGTGTGTGTGTGTGCGCGCGCGTGTGAGTGTGTGTGTGTGTGTGTCTGTGTGTCTGTGTGTGTGTGTGTGTGTGTGTGCCTGTGTGTGTGTGCCTGTGTGTGCGTGTGCGCGCGTGTGTGTGCCTGTGTGTGCGTGTGCGCGCGTGTGTGCGTGTGCGCGCGCGCGTGTGAGTGTGTGTGTGTGTGTGTGTGTGTGTGTGTGTGTGTGTGTGTGT